GGACTTGTAAGCGCACGAATACGCGCTCTGAGTTCTTCCTCTTCCGCAGCATGACCAATAGCAATCCGGTCCCGAACTCCGTCATCTGCATCTTCCTTGGCTGGACAACAAGCCCGCGTCGGCATCTCCAGGGTACTAATGCTGTCTCTGCGGAATCGCAAGTCTCTGTCGATCTCCACGGCAGGTAGTCCGGGAAGCGAGCTGCGCGCCCCGTAGTAATAGTAAGGGCTGCGAGATTGGCGGAAGCCGAGTATACGGTTCAAGATCCGTTTGAAGATAGGTTGGATGGATGGTGCTGATGCGCAGATGATGGCTGTGTTGATCTCGACTTGGGACCTAGAGTGCGATTAGTAGCTGTCTCAGATCTACGTCCTGTATGAGTTTTACTTACCAGAAGATGATGTATCCACCGTAGTACCGAGCATGCAATCCGCTGTTTGCCCAAAGATTCAGCCCGCAAAGCCGTACTGCAGATGCAATTGGGATGAGCAGACTCACAGCAAACACGGCTATGACGGATAGGCGTTTGGCTGTTCGCATACGCAGTGAAAATAGAAGGGGCATAGGAAGAAGTAGAATGACGACGTCGGATCCGATACTCCAGCCTGCTTGCCAGTACAAAATGATTCTCAGGTCGAAACAGTGGATGGAGCCCCTGTCTCGCAATATAGCAGCGCCGAAAGCGACGGAGGGCTTTTTGGGACATTGAAAGGCGATAATAAAGATCAAGGCGATCGTAACAGCGGTGACGATGACGATCGATATGTGGACTAGTCTTCGAAAGGTATGTTGGGTTGCAAAGCCGAGGTAGACTGGAGGTGTAGGGATTAGATTGGGGTGCATTCGAGCGACGTAGTCAAGGAATATACTCACAGACGAGTATTGAGAGCTTGATGAGACCCATTATGAACTGATAACCGATATGGTATGCGTACCCTTCGAATAGTCAGAATGACCTTGCGTTTGCTGGCACAGCTACTTACATGTTGCTACAGCACCTAAGGCGTAGCGGTCTAATTTTGACTGCTCTGCTTTGGACTTGTGATTTGCTTAGCATACTGCTGTAGCACGTCCGATACTTTAAAACACTTATCCTTACCTTTGATCTGACCCTTGGGTTATAATCAACCCCGGAACCAAATAGCAGCTGATAATGGTTGCAGGCGCAAAGCCCCCAAGTGAAGACCCACAGTCGATCAGTATATGACAGTTCACAACTTGGTTTTAACTTACTAATGCCGTTGCCATTAAGTAGTCACTTAGATTAACCTTCCTGATGATCCATCTTCGCACGTAGAACCTAATGTTGATGAGCACAATGGGACAAAGGTAAAACAATGAGTATAGAGGACGAACCGGACAGCAAGCACTACTGTCGAAAGGGTCACCAGGACAAAAGCTGTGATCTCGATAGTGGGCCGTAGATCGTTTGGGCTGAACATCTTGACTGATCCCATTCTTGCCCGGCATCGGAACAGTGACGTTGTAGCGGTAGTGGTAGTGTAGGGTGGACGTTTGTAAACTGAGGTATGGGCGACCTGCCTTAGGTGTATGATACGAAGCACCTAAACTCGTACCAGGCACAGCGCGGGCTAATCATGAATCGAAAGACCAGGAATACCCGTACATTTAGCGAGCCACGAGGTAAACCACGGGCTGGGGACTTGCGCTTTGGTAGCGCCACGATCATCTTGAATACCCAGTGAGCAGGGCATTCCTCGGCATCCGCAAAACCGTATACCCCACGACCGGCAACCACCATGGGCGTCAGTCTGTAGCCATGTCATATCGGTATCTGTCAGATGGTACAGTCACTGTGATTAGTATCCTGTACCCCAGCTAAGATGCTGTATATCGGAGAAGTGAAATGATGGAGAGCGATGATGGCCAATCGATCTAGTTACTTCGTACGTTCACCCTTCTGCTGAACTTGATGGCTATTTCCGGGAGTTGTACCACTTCATTACGGAGTTCGATTGTGCTGCTGAGCTGACACCGGCATTCATTGACTCCTGCGTGTCAGGTCATGCAGGCGCAGGCGATAAACTTTGCGCAAGTGGTAGGCCAACCAGGATGGCGAAAGCCGATGCGGCGCAGTTGATGACGGCTCTCATCTCGACAAGGTTCTGGAATGAGGTGCGGTTGAACAGTGTTCACGTGCTTTGTGCAGGTTTGTATTGGGGCGCCCGTTCTCAACGTGATGGATGATGCCTGCAACTCGGGGGGGTATGATGAGGAATTGACCATGCACTTGACATATACGTGAGGCGAAGACGGATTGTGATGCTATGCCACCAAGGGATGATACCGTGCCTGGCCTCCCATAACTGTAATTACCCGCGGCTAGTCCGAGGTTGGTGTTTGGCGGGTGCAGCCACTACGAAGCGAGCAGCCCCACGGCGCGCCTTGGAGCTGACTGGACGAGTTTGCCTCGCGAGTGCGTCAGAACCAAGCATGAACCGTGAGAAATTCTGCGTCCACGAGACTCGCCCGATTGTTGGGGCTTTGCCATAAACTGTCGACGCAAGGTCGAACTCTCGATCGGGAGCAGGGATGTTAGACATGGTAATCGAGGCCTGGTGAGCGATCACAAGAACTTGGTTCGACCACATGGAGGGGACCGCGGAGAAGAAAAGCGTGGAAGCATGATGGAAGCGCAGAGGTCATTCAACGTGAATGTCCTGCATGCATGCGCATGGAGGGATCCGGAGAGCGACCAGGTTGTGCCAATGAACTGTGCCGTCACCAAGCATAGAAGAGTGGCATTTCGATCAGCGAGCGGAAATGATGGTGAACGTTTGATGTGAAACGTGAGCGAGACTCGTCGCACGTTGAAAGGCGTTGTTGTTGGCGGGCATTGGCAAGGCATTGGACAGCGGGCGGGCGAGATGAGCTAGGGGAAGCGTTCTAGTCTCCCAGGCACATTCAGGGTCTTGGGCATACGTCAGCACGCCGTGATGATCAACAACCCAAAGTACGAGGGAGAGGAGATTGTCAACACAGACCTGCGCAGTGCTATACTACGTGCAAACCTCACTCATACAGTCTGCTAAAAGTCGTTATCATTCATCAACATTAAATCTATCGATATCATTCACTGTAGCGCAGGACACCCAAGGCCTGTTGATTAAAGGTCAAGGGTGTATCCCACTCGGCAACTTCCCTGAACTTGGAAAGCGACGATAGCCACCGCGTGACGACACAGGGACAGGTTTATTGCTTGCCATAGGCCCGACTCGCAGCTTCTTGTATAGGGCGCCCATCTCGCCTCTTGCGCTGTTTTCCACCTCGCGACACGAACAGAGCAGATATCACCATGAGCGCAACCAACACGGCAGCCGCAGCCCCTCAGCAGCCCAACCCGCCCGCATCCGTCACACCCGCATCGAGCGCGACCAAGTCGACCGACGATGGCAGCATCCTGAGCAAGGGAAAGAAGCTCCTGGGCCTAGGAAAGAAGAAGGATTCAGAGGCCGGTAAACAGCCAACAGAGAGCGCATCAACTACCACGACACCGACACTGCTCCCCTCGCCCCCAATGTCACCGCCCGAGCAACGAGCATCGCCGCGAGGAAGCCCGCGCATGCTGCCCATTGGCGCATCTCCTGGACGGCGCATCCGCTCTACGTCGCCCGGTCTTCACAGTCCCGCCTCGTCGCTCATCTTCGAGCGCAATGTACAGGAGCCCGAGCCCTCAGCCGACGTGCCTGCCCACATCAAGACGGAAGACCACATACCCCCTGCACTGGATGCGACGTCACTGGCAATCACCGACAACCACCTCAACCCCGACGAGGTGGAAATTATAACACACACGGCGCATCAGCCAGCCGCCGTCGCAGTTGCGGGCAGCATAACCGACTCCCTGCACTCGCCGCCTCTCCCTCACACCGAATCTGTGGCGTCCAGCCACGCTGACGTGCCGGACTCAGCACCTGGATATGGCTCACTGGACACGGCGGATCCCCGGCGCTTGAGCTTCATCTCATTCGCAGACGTGGTGCAGGCAGAGCATGTTGAGCACGACAGACAGGAAGTGTTGGGCGCCACGTCGACAGAGGCTCTGCAGTTTATGAGCCTCTCGTCGACAGCGAACCGATCGCCCTCGCCAGTGCGGTCTGCGGCGTCTTCGCCCCCAACCACAAGCGGAGCGGCTTCGCCCAAGCACGCGGATCTGTCGCGCACGCGGTCACCGGCGAGTCCTACGTCACCTGTCGTGCTCGGCAGCCCACACCCAGCGTCGGGCGAAGAGCTGCCAGTGCAAATTGAAACGATGCGACAGGCGCTGCGCAAGACGCACTCGGGCGACCTCAGCGGTGCGCGCTCGCAGCCATTGAGCGCGGCGAGTGTGGAGGAGAGTGCGGCTGACAAGCCCCCGTTCAAGTGAGGATGTAGCATGGAGATTGACATGGACATGGACTAATTTGGATTTGCGCAATGTTGGGAGGTTATAGGCAGGCAGTGGGGTTATTGGGAGGTTCAGATATCCACGGCGCCGTAGTTGTTCGATACCAATGCTGAGAATGCTGAGAGAATCTATGTTATATGTTGCGTGTTATATTATGCTATGATCTGCAGTCGTGTCTCTGTATACATGTCGACTCTAGAATCGGTGAAGCAGATAGATGAGACGTCGGGCACAGGGACGTTGGGCACCCAAGCGCAGCTGGGTAGAGTCGTCAGCTGGCGTCGCGGTGCTTGGGCCGGGGCGCGGTGATTTAGCGATGCATCTCAGCTTTGCCAAGGCTGGGTGCTAGTCGTGGCCATGTTGGCTCGCTAGGGCTGGCGGTGGGCCTCTGACTACCTAACGACAGACCATTTTGCCCGCGCAACGAGGCCTGCGATGCGCCTCACGACACCAGACGCCAGTCCTGCCGCGCCCCCGCCGCCCTCGTCCGCCGTCACCGTCATCCCGCCAGCGCAACGGCTACCAGCTGCCAGAGCCGGGCCGCCTGTCGTGTGTCAATGAGCAGCAGACGACACCGCAGCGGTCCGCATCCATGGACCAGCAGACGCAGCAGCGACGCAGCCGGAGGGAGGTGAGCGCCTCCGAGGCCGCCCAGGGCGTCTACTCCCTCCACGACCGCGACGACGTCCGCCATGCCCACACCATCCGCACCGTCACCCCCGACGACCCGCCGCCCTCGCAGACCACCGGCACTACCACCTCGACCGCCACGGCCACGATCCCCGAGGACGGCCTGCCCGTGCAGACGTTCCAGTCCCCGCCCAACAGCCCCCGCTCCCACAACAGCCAGCTCTCCAACTCGCAGCGCACCGCCAACCCGCGCCAGTACGTCGCCCGCGCCTCGAGCGACTCCGAGTACCGCAATGCGCGCGAGCAGACACGGCCCCGGACCCGCACCCTCGAGGAGCGCAGCACCCGCGAGCGCTCGCCCTCGTCCGTCTTTGGCTCCGGCCGCCACCGCATCGGCTCCGTCGCCAGCAACCAGAGCAACTACCAGAGCCTCGAGGAGTCGGTCGTCACCTCCATCGGCCACATCTCCACCATCTCCCCGCCCCAGCAGCCGCCCCGGACCTCGAGCACCAACAGCCGCAGCCGCCTCACCAAGCAGCAGCAGCAACAGCAGGCGGCCGCCCACCGCTCCACCTCGCCCGTCCTCTCGCCCTCCAATGTCCCGCCCGACTCGTGGGTCTCGCCCGTCCCGGCATCTGACGCTAAGAAGCTCAAGGCCCTCATGCGCTCCACGTGCGGCAAGATGCAGGGTCTGCTGGCCTTCCGCCGCGGCGAGCCAAACCCCTGGGGCCTGTCGTACTGCTACATCAACGACGAGGCCGGCAGCCTGGTCTACGAGCCCAAGAACGACACGTCCTACACCCGCACCCTCATACCCGATCTCCGCGGCTGCCATGTCAAGAGCGCATACGACGGCGAAGCCTACACGGCCTACATCCACGTCGTCGTCCACAACTCGAAGCTCGAAGTCCACCTGCGCCCGCCGACCCAGGAAGAGTTCGACTCGTGGTTCGCCGCGCTCTTGTGCTGGTCGCCCATGCGTCCCAAGGGCATCCAGAACAGGATGGCCAAGCCCCAGGCGCCCGTCATGATCGAGCGCCGCCTGCCAGACAGCCGACGGCATTCCGAGGTGTCGCTCCTCAAAGACTCGCCCAAGAAGGAAGCGCCCATCATCAAAGTCGGCAAGATGATCTACTGGGACACTAGTGTGACATACAGCAGCAATACAGGCACCGCCAAGAACAATGGGCCCGGGGGACGCCCCCAGGCGTACAGAGTCCAGAGCCACGGATCCCGCCGCTGGAGAAGAGTGTCGTGCACGCTCCGTGAGAACGGAGAGCTCAAGCTCTACTCCGACACCGATGTCACCCTTGTTTCCACCGTTCAGCTTTCCCAGCTTTCCCGATGCGCCGTTCAGCGATTGGATCCCTCCGTTTTGGATAACGAATTTTGCATTGCCATATATCCCCAGTATACCGCTGCTTCTTCTCCTGCATTAACAATCCTGCGTCCCATATTCCTATCGCTAGAGTCACGAGTTCTGTACGAAGTCTGGATAGTCCTCCTACGCGCCTTCACCGTTCCGCAACTATATGGTCCAAAGTCGCCGGACGCCATGACCGACGAGGGCACTTTGTCGCCGTCTTTCGGCACCCAAGACATGTTCCGCATGGAGAAATCATTGTTCGTAAGGGTCATTGAAGCGAAACTGATTCCGCCTGTAAGCCCCAAGGTCTCGGATAGCAACGGAACAACCCCAATACGACCGTCTTCGTCTGCCACAACCAACCCGGGTGGCTATCTTGTTGAAGTGCTGCTAGATGGAGAGACACGTTCACGAACCACGGTCAAGAGCGAGGGCAACAATCCCTTCTGGAGAGAGGAGTTTGAATTTCTGGATCTACCCGCCCTGCACACCGCTTCATTACTCCTGAAAAAGCGACCGCCGAGCTACAACCGCACCGAAAAGAGCGGTTTTGAGGCCACCAACTCCGACCCATACGTCTCCGAGGGTGGTTACGCGGGCATCTCTTTCGATCAGACAGTAGGAAAAACTGACATTTATCTGGACGACCTCGGCCCGAATCAAGAGATGGAGAAGTGGTGGCCGCTTATCAACATGTATGGAAACAGTGTCGGTGAGGTACTCGTCAAAGTCAGCAGCGAGGAATGCGCGATTCTCATGGCTCGTGACTACTATCCACTTTCGGAACTTCTTCACAGGTTTTCCAACGGAATCACACTTCAGATCGCCCAGATGATCCCGAACGAGCTCAGGAGATTATCAGAATATCTGTTGAATATCTTCCAGGTGTCCGGGGCAGCTGGCGAGTGGATATGCGCGCTAGTCGAAGAAGAGATTGATGGCACATTGAAGGAGTCACCTGCTAGTCGGTTACGGTTCAGTAAAAGACTGGGATCAAGTGAATCGAATGAATCTTCGCTGGCCACCTTTGGTTCTGCGAGCGACCGCGAGCTCTTCGTTCGCGACATGGGCAACAATGCCAAACTGGAGGCCAATTTGCTCTTCCGCGGTAACACCTTGCTCACGAAGTCACTGGATCTGCACATGAAGCGACTTGGGAAAGAGTACTTGGAGGAGACCCTGAGCGAGAAGTTGAGAGAGATCAACACCAAGGACCCTGATTGTGAGGTTGATCCAAACAAGGTCACTTCACAACATGAACTGGACCGGAACTGGAGAAGGCTGATCAACTGTACTGAAGAAGTTTGGCGAGCCATCTACAACTCCGTGGCGAGGTGTCCACAGGAGCTGAGATTGATCTTCAGGCATATCCGGGCCTGTGCTGACGACCGCTATGGAGACTACCTCCGGACGGTGCAGTACAGCAGTGTCTCTGGCTTCTTGTTCTTGCGCTTCTTCGTTCCAGCGGTGCTGAACCCGAAACTCTTTGGCTTACTGAAAGGTGCGAAGTTCTCCACTTCTGCTTTGACCATCTCGCTAACAGTCATCTAGATCACCCCAAGGTCAAAGCCCGAAGAACGTTCACGCTCATTGCAAAGTCACTGCAAGGCCTGGCGAACATGTCTTCATTTGGCACCAAAGAAGCATGGATGGAGCCCATGAACCAATTCCTTACCACGCATCGGCAAGAGTTTAAGAAGTATCTCGATGACATATGCTCAATATCAACCACGTCGCAACCCGCACCGCCGATACCGCCATCGTACAGCACTCCGATTGCCATTCTCCACCGTCTGCCTCCGACGTTCAAAGAAGGGTTCCCATCATTACCATACCTCATTGATCATTCACGCAACTTTGCAATGCTAGTCAACCTCTGGTTAGACAACACACAGAAGAGTGCGCCTGACATACAAGCCACGGACGGTGATCTCCTCCGTTTCCACAACATCTGTCTGTCTCTAAGCGAGCGCACCAAGGATTGCCTGAACCGCGCTGAACCTGCCGAACGTCCATCATCGTCACTGAGTGTCAAGTGGGAAGAGTTGGTCGAGCAGCTACAAGGGGCGCAAATCGACACGTCACGAGGTGCAGCAACGAGGAATCGTGGGCCAATACTGGAAGAAGAGATAGAGGAAACCCCGCTATCTCCTGGCGGCGATGACTATTCGTCTTCGTCTACGAGCACACCTATCACAATGCAGCCACCGCCACGGGCTCGGCATCAGCAGAATTCGAGCATCTCAGCATCTCAGAGCTCTTTGAAGAGCAACAGCTCGGCCACCATATCTTACACCAATCCCTTTGCGAAGAAGCAATGGTCTGGTCAATACACGCCGTCAGGAAACGACTCGGTAAATGCCTCTCAGTCTGCGTCTGCTTCGGCCAGTGCATCAGCATCCGCAACCGAGGACACACCACCGGGGTCCAGCGATGGTCTTCACATGGCCCCTGCGCCTTCATACCCGCAAGCCTTGACTACGACAACCACGACCACGATATCTACATCTACCTCTACACAGTCCTTCAACTACAGCAATCCAAACTCTCACATCAATCAACAAAGACCTGCCGCTGTGTCCACAAACTCCCTTGTCGGAAGACCACCTCGTTCAGCAGGCGGTCAGAGTATGGAAAACAGCGACAGCGGCAGTATCGCAGAAGAGGAGTACACAACCGCCCTCCCCGCCTTCTCCGAGAAAGCCACGAAGGAGAAAAAGGAACGCGGCTTCCGAGGCGTCCTCCCCTTCCAACGCAAAGGCAAGCGCAAGGACAAAGACAAAGAGAAAGAGGACAAGAAAGACAAGGAACGAGACAAGGAAAACCGCAAGGACAAAGGCAAAGACAAGGATCGCGACCGAGACCGCAGCGCCGAACGCGGTACCAGCGCCCTCGGTGGCCACCAGAGCTACAACGACATGGGCAGCATGCGCGGCAAACACACCACCCGCGGCGAAGACCGCGACGAAGAATTCTGACTCCATGGATGGTTTACCGAGAGTCCTCGCGCGATCGCTAGACGCGAAATCAAGAGAAGGAAGAGTGCGGGTGAACTTTTGGATAAAGCGAGTCCATCGTAGTGACCTTGCTTTCGGACTTCCTTTCCGTTGCCTGTTTCTTTGGACCGGCTGCGAAGTCGATTGGAAATCATCAAAAAGCCAAAAGCTTGTACTACATTATACATATACATGTTTGCGCTGCGTTGCGTTGCGTTGTCTTTTAGGTGGCTAGACATCGTTGGAACAAAAACGCTTGCATGAGCATGGGCATAACATAACAACAAACCGGGAGGCTGGTTTTGGGACGACTTCACCTGAACCATCTTTATTGCTCGCGACGAAAGTTTTGACGTTTTTACAATGGCGCGTTAGAGCGATGACTTATTTGTTTTCGTCTTTGGGTTTTCAATTCGTTTAGATTCTCGTTCTAGGGGGGTGACATGAAAAGGAAGCCGGGCGGTAAGGCATCCTTGGTTTGGATAGATCGATGGATGGTTGACGAGGTAAACTTTTTGTTAGGGTGTATATAGCATTTGCGGGTTTGGGTTATGCATAGATATCAACGTGGTTGTTTGTCATGAACTTCTGTTCCACAATTGTGACTGTTGTGTTGGTGGTGACTACCTGTATAAAATGCTGTTGATTACACAGGAGAGTAAGAATTTATATAGACTGCGTGCATCTACCGTCTTTCTCCCTCCCCTTCTTCTTTCCTACTTCCTATTACCCTCCCTATAACTCTCCCCAAACACATCGCCTTCATCGTCAGACTCGCCCATCTCCTCATCGCTATCTTCGTCACCACCGTCACCCCCAGAGTTTGAGTCCTCGCTCCGTCCCACCGTGTGGCTAGATGTCTCACTCTCGTCGTCCTCATCCCTGTCGCTCCCAGCATCCGCCATGCTCTCATCTGAATCTCCTTCATCCTCACTAATCTCCTTCCCGTCATCTTCATCCGCTGCAAGCGTAGACTCCGACGACTCCGACCGACCTAAGGTGTGACTAGACACATCACTTCCTTCACTATCGCCAGTATCTCCACTATCTCCACTATCTCCAGTATCCTCGACATCCTCGACATCCTCACTCGCTGGACATTCCGCCAAGCTATCCCAGCTCCGACTACGCCCAGAGGCCGATGCGACGCCTTCTTCTGTTGTGCCGTGGCGCTCCTCCACTATTCCTTCGCTTGGACCGTTTCGGCGTTGAGTAGCATGCGTTGCGCCAAGGCGAAATGGGTCGTCTCGGGTTGATGTATCTGCGGCAGGGTTGTAGTCGTGGTACTGGCGTAAAGTACCGTTGGAGCGGAAGCTGGTGGCGATGAGAGGACCGAAGGGGCTGGCGGGGGTGGTGTGGGTTGGTTTCTGTGGTGGGGTGGTGGGCATGACGGGTGCTTTTGCGGTGATGGTGGTGTTGATATGTGTAGGGCAGACGGTTACTTGTTGGCCAGATCAGAAAAACTAGAGAGACTTATGTATGCCAGGAGAACCTCAATGAGAGACATAGTCTTGCAGTTGGTTTTCGAAGGTAGGACAGGAGCGTTCGAGGGTCTCATATCGATGTTTCGGTTGATGCAGACTTGAATAGAAGAAGAGACAGGTTTCAGTTCTGAGTATCAGACATCTGGGATAGAGATACTAGATGTTGCATCTCACTTGATGACAGCAGAAATCCCCAAAGTTCAAGCGCCGTCAGAAGAGTGGCGACAGAAATCTAGATCGTGTACAGATACCTTGGGTTATCCTCGCCCATCTCAGCAATCTCCTCTTCAGTCTTACCCTCGATCCTCCAGTCCTCCTTACCAGAAAGCTTCCTGTTGTTCTTCATACGGAAGTAGAAGTGCAGCGCAATGTAAATCGCAATACCGAGCGCCAGCAGCCCGATAGTAGCGCCGTAGCCCGGAATGTATGTTGGCGCGGTGTCGGCGGCGTACAAGAAAGGTGCCGCAACACCTGAGCAGTTACCGATGGTGATCTGCATACCGCTCGCGAAGGCTCGCTTTCCGTATCGGGGATTGTTAACAGCGATCCAGGAGAAGGCGATGCCGGTGGCGACCCAAAGGCCAAGTGCGACGATGAAGCAGCCAGCGAAGCTAAGGCCGAGTCCCTATACGCATGTCAGTACAGTCGTTGGCATTGTGGAATGTTGAGGGGCCTACCTTGTTTGCGATGAGGAAGATGTACCCGATCATACTAACAGCAAGCCCACCTATACAGTAAAGACCTCTGTTTTGCGACTTATCGCTGAAGTATGCGCAGATGACGTAGGTAAGGAAGCCGCAGACGTAGACGGGGATCGTCAACGCCTGAACCACTTGACGGCTCCATCCACCTCCGAGACCGTTGATGATGGTAGGTAGGAAGACGGAGAAACTGTAGAGCATGCCCAGTCCAACGAATTGCGCAATGGCGTAGGCGTAGACTTTCCAGTCTTTCACACCCTTCATGACATCCTCGCGCGCGAGTTCTTGCCCAGATGTTGTTTGGCCGACTTCCTTCATTCGGAGCAGAACAAGGTTCCGGCGGTCTTCCTCGGTCAGAAAGCTGGCCGTCTCGGGGCTGTTGGGTAGGACGAATGGTACAGCGATGGCGGTGATCACAGTCGGGATGCCGTTGATCAAAATGATCCATCGCCATCCGTTCCAGCCGGCTACACCGTCGAGCTCACCGATTGCGTACGCGACAACACCCTGGGCTTGTTAGAGCCTTTCCCTTGTCTTGTGGAAGCGATACTTACACCCAGTCCACCTGCTAGTGCAGATGTGCCATAGAAGCACGCCTGTCTCAAGCTAACGTTGCGCCGGTTGTAGAACATGCTCAGGTAAAGAATCACGCCCGGGAACAAGCCGGCTTCGAACGTGCCCAGCAGAAGGCGGCAGACGATGAGCCCGGCGAAGTTGTTGACAAAGCAGGAAAACGTGGCCACCATGCCCCACATGAACATGAGACCTCCGAGATATCGAGCGGGCTTCATTCGCTTCAAGATCAGGTTGGACTTGGAGTTGAATTAGCATGTAAGGCTAGTCTCTGGTGGACGCCAAGCTTACTGGAGTTTCGAATATCTAGTACACGGTTAGTGGGGGCCAGTGACATCGGGTGAGAGTAATACTTACGACGTAAGTGACGAACAAGATAGATACCGCAATCTGGAACTGATTGCTATCGGGGTCCATCCCAAGATCCTCCTCCATTTTGTAGAGACGAGCATTGCCAATGTTAACTACGCGAATTTGTCAGCCTAGATCTCAAGATGAGCATATCGTACGCACCTCGATCCATAAAGTTCATCAAGTAGATCCAGCATATCATGGGTACGATCCGGATGTCCAGCTTCCTTAGCAGTTTTGCTTCAGTGACAGGATCAATGTCAATCATCGAGGCGGATTGTTCGACATCTTCGAGTTTGAGAGGCGGGTTTGGTGATGTGTCCGAACCTTTCTCGTCCCTGTACTCCGGTTCCGTGAGCACCGGCCCATCTTTGTTTGCGTTCATGCTGTCAACGAACGAAAACAAAATTGTATGAGTGCGATCTCAAGTTGGACGAGTTTCCAGCGGGGAGGTAAGTTGTTGTGATCGTCGTTGGAGGACCAAAAAAGTATTGGAACCAGTCTGACCCTTATAACCCGAACACCTGGGGAAGGGTGCCCCGGCCCCATGGGGAAGCGAGATATGCCATGCGCTTGGTATACGGAGACGCGCCGTTGGCATCGATCAGGCAGAAAGACCGAAGCGAGTTTGTTAATCTCGTCGTCGAAGTGCCGGTAGCCGTTCTTCCGCCCTGGCGTGCTTGGAGGCTCTGGATAAGGGCGCAATGGGCGCCTCCAAGCTTCTGAAGCTGGGGTAGTAGGTGGTTAACCAAGACCTCCACTTCCTTGGAATCTTAACCTCTTTTGGCAAGGCTGGACGCGGATCGCGTCAACGGGACCAGATCTTCGGTACGGAGGAACGGGTATCTTCTGTTGTACAGCCTATCATCTTGCGTAACGCAAGGGTATTCGCAATCCCGTGTGCCAGATGCTCGTAATCCCTATACTCAACAGCTTTCCCATGTAACGTGCACAGACACAAATGCCTGTCTGTACCTACAGCTTCCGCACAACTTTGAACAGCCGAACGATAAAACAATTTGCGGTTGAACACGAGAACAATATGCACAGAGCCCATCAGTAGTATGTACTACCGTGAATCGAGTGAACTGACCTTTGATCACTGTCATGTTTGGTGTGTGCATGCTGCGATCCGCAGTAACCCTCCTCTTGATGCTCTGAGAAATGCCACAGATGCCACGTCTGATTTGACCGGAGGACGCACTGAATCTAGTGAGGAGTACTTAGTCCGAGAGATTGCATACAAATACTACCTTCCTTTGCTCCGTGAGTGTTGTTGTCATGCTCGATACCAAGTCGCCAAGTCCTTAGCCTGCGTTCATGCGCTTGGCAGTTGTGTCCTATGCAAGGACGTCGAGCTTCTCCACACATTTGAAGTCGCTACTGTATGGGTTGAATGAGAACAACAATAGCTAATTTTCGGTGAACGAAAGTGTATGACAGATCAGTGCGTTTGGATATGCTTCCAGAGAGAACGTCGCAATGCGAGGCTCTTCGACAACCTTTCGTTATTCTTGCCCAGCCGGATAGATCGGTATGAGATGCATCGCGGCTGGGTCTGTACAAATTGATTCGAGCGGGAAGGCTGAAACATTGCAGCAGTGCTGCGCCTCGGGCGGAATGATAGATGCTTGTGCGGCGGGCCTCTGCATTCAAGAGGAAGTACGCCTGTTGTGCCGGACGGGCAAAGGGATGTGATAGACGGCCAAGCACCGAATCGTTGCCCAGCATGAGGAGGATCAGTAGAGATATGGCGCCGCTGACGATGATGATGAGAGATGATGGAGGAATGAAGGCGGAGGCTACTGCCCAGGTGGTGGATGATGGGACGAGGCAGGGGCAGCGCGTCTTGGAAGGTGCGTCGCTTAGTCAT